CCTGGTGTGAGTGCAAATTGACTAACTGATGCTAAAATTTACATGAGATAATGAAGACCCAATAGTAGCCAATGCATTCCTAAAGAAGGTAGGTGAATACAAAAGAGCAAATATGGGAGCCGGCAGGTGGCATGGTGGTTAAGAGTGCTGGACTCCCACATGGCTGACCATGGTTCAAGTCCCAGACCTGGTGGCTTGCTTTCTCATTTCCTACTCTCCCTAAAACAATGTCCATCACCAGACCTCTCCCCTACATAAAACTCTACTTTATTTATAATAAATACTATAAAGCTGTTTCCACCTGCCTCCTCAACTTAACCTTTAACACCTAGTTCATCAAATCCAAGCCCTCTGGGGCCAGCTAGGTGGCAAAGTGGTTAAGGCAGCTGGATCTTACATGGCTGACTGCATGGCTATCTGGTGGCATGAAAAACACATCAGGGTGCATGTGTCCCAAATCCCAAAAAAAAAGAGAAAGGATTGCAGTGTGCTCATATAGACTCTCTCCCTCCTTCTTTCTCTCTCTCTGGCAAGTGCACGTGCCCTATAGCAAATTTAAAAAAAATAAATTTTAGGGACCAGCGGTTAGCATAATGGCTATGTCACTGGATTTCCACGTAGTTGACCACGGTTTGCGTCCTGGACTTGGTGGCTTAAAACGGGCGTGTGTGCGTGCGTGCCCAAGATCCCAAGAGGAGAATGGAGAGAAGGGATTGCGGCATGGCCATCCCCGCTGGGGGGTGATTTCTTGCTTTCTGTCTCTCTGTCTGTCTCTGTCTGTCTGGCGAGTGCATGCGCCCTATAGCGAAAACCTCTCCAAAAAATAAAATAAATAAAATAAATTTTAAAAAGGACCTCTGAATTTTCTATTTCCTCTGCTTCAATCATTCTTTACTTCCCTCTATCTCTCCAGCTTTTGCATTCAAATGCCATCTTTCTTGACCACCCAAAACAGAGTCTCATCCTTATTCTTTTGCATCACACTAATTTACAAGCATATATTGTGTTTTGTTTTGTTTTGTGAGAGATTTTTGCTATAGGGTGCGTGCAATCAATGAGAAAGTAAGAAGTCATTCCCCTCCCCCCCAGCCCTGGGAGGATGGCCATGCCACAATCCCTGCTCCTCCATTCTCCTGTCAGGATATTGGGCACACATACACATGCTCCCAGTGTGAATTTCAAGATGCCAGGTCTGGGACTCGAACAGTGGTCAGCCATGTGAGAGTCCAACACCTTAACCACAAGGCTTACCTGCTGACCCCTTATTATTTCTTAATTTGGCCAGACAAATAGAGAAAGTGAAAGCAAGCCTCCAGATCTGGGACTCAAACCGGGGTCAGCCATGTGGGAGTCGAACACCTTAACCACCACTCCACCTGTTGGCCCCTACAAACATACGTTAAGTGAAATGATCTAATTTGTATTTCCATCCACCCACTTCTTTCTGACATAACAGGAGGAATCTCACTCTCCCATTTTCTCTAAATTATTCACTCTCACAATGAGATCTTCAAAAACCAACTATTTAAAATTCCAACATTCACCTCCTGCTCAATCCCCCTTATTTCCTTTACTGGTTTTTCTCCAAATCACTTAGGTTTTATGTATTTTCCTGCTTACTCCTCTCCCCACGCTTGAACCTTTTTCACTATTGTAGCCCCAGTGCCTAGAAGAGTAAGAGCCTGAGCAAGGACAGTCGTCAATGAATATTCGAATAAGGCTGAATGAATGGGCCCTGTGTATCTGAATCACAAATGGATCCACAGCATCTTGTACAATACCCAAGACTCAGAAAGCACTGAGATTTACTGAAGCAATGGCTGTTATTAAGACACTCAAATTCTAGGGACCAGCTGGTGGCACGGTAGTTAAGGCAGCTGGATCCCACATGGCCAAGCATGTAGTTCAAGTCCCAGATCCAGCGGCATGAAAAACACATTGCACACATGTGTTTACACACCCAAAAATCCCGAGAGGAGAGAGAAACGGAGAAGGTACTGCAGTGTGACCATGTCCCAAGGAGGGTGCTTTCTGAATTTTCTTCCTCTCTCTCAAGTGAGCACACGTACCCTATAAAGTTTTCAAAATAAATAAGTGAACGAAAAGGAAAAAAACATTAAAAAAAGGCACCCAAATTCTCAAGTACTATCAAATCCACAGAGAAATCATGTATTGTTCAGAATAATAAAAAATTTAAATACAGTTCTAAGATATGTTCAAAAATTCCTATGATACACTTTTAAAATCAGATTTAAATGTTTTATTGTATGATGAGTTAAAAAAAATAATAAAAAGACAACCTGTTACAGTTTTGTAACTTAGTTTTTATATACTCAAATAACAGACTCATTAAGATGCCATCTCCCTAACATTGTCAGAAGTCTTTAACCACAGAAGTCAGTAGAAGAGAGAAAATAAATGATTTAGGAAGAGAGAATTGATGGACCAATGTCCCTGCTCCAGAGGCAGGAGGGCATGGAATCTAACACTCATGTGGTAGCCTTGGCCTAACTGAAGATAGGTTACTTCATCCACTGTAAGGAGGAAAGGAGGTAGACTACAGGAGCCTAACTACAAGGAGTGCACAGAGCAGGTGGTGGGAGCCATGACAGTTCTCCCATTGTTGACCCGTCTCGGGCTATATATATAACCTAGTGAGGAGCGGGGAGGTATTGGGTTGTGAGGTATTAGGGTGTTGGGAAAGCCATGATGCATTTTTGCACAGAAAAACACGTCATGACTTTCCCTAATAATATGTAGTAAAAATAGATGAGAAGACACCCGTAGTGGCTCATGCTTATGGTCCCAGACGCTGAGAAGGGTGAGCTGGATGCTCCTGATTGAGAGCTTGCAGTCAGCATAGATCACATAGGGAGACCTTGTCTGAAAGAGCCGGCCCGATGGCCTGTGGTTGCAACTACTTAGAAGGCTGACGAAGAGGATGGCAACACAGACACACTGTCTGAAAAAGAAAACCCACCGCACACACACACAAACACAAAAGATGAGAACATGGGTCAGACTCCTGATGGATTCTACCTTGGAAGACAAGGTGTCACAGAACCTGAGTGTGTTTCAGGAGTTGGGTAAGCTCAACTGGTATGCACTGGCAGTACATTTGAAGAGCGAAATGGCACAAAGCCAATCCCCCACAGCTGGTGTAGAAAAATGTCAACCTTCACTTAGGAAGGGGAGAGAAAACATTACCAAAGAGCTGACTTACTTTGTTTCTTTCTTTCTTTCTTTCTTTCTTTTTTTTTTTTTTTTTTTTTTTTTGAGATGTTTTTGCTATATGGTGAGTGCGTTCACCAGAAAGACAGAGAGACAAAGAGAGAAATCACCCTCCAGGGGGGATAGCCACATCACAATCCCCTCTCAGGATCTTGGGCATGCACGCACACATACCTGGCATCAATTTAAGCCACTGCGTTTGGGACTCGAACTGCAAGCACACACGCCTGGCTTGAGTTTAAGCCACTGAGTCCAGGACTCGAACTGCTGTCGACTACATGGGAGTCCAGCAACATAGCCACTACACCAACGGCTGGGCCCCTGAAGAGCTAACTTTCTACAACAGTCTATGCAGCAGGATAAAACTACCACCCTTCATGTGTATGTTTTTCTTATAAATAAATTTAGCTTATTTCTTTTAAAGAAATAAGAATAATCCCCCAAACTGTAATGGTACATGATTAAATATGAACTTTACCCAAACTTCCAAAAAATAATAATAGTATGGTAACAGAACACCAAGATGGTCAATTCTCACATTGTTTATCATCCCTGCAAAGTCTAACCACTGCAAAACTCATATAGATTTAATTATTAAATCTGCACCATAATTCTACAGTTTGCCTTTCTTCTCTATGTAGATAAAAGCTTTCAAAGTACATTCTATTCACTGGGTTATGAGAATGTTCACTAAAAAGAATCACTTCATCCACAGAATGTGTGGATCAGCATTTTAAAAGCAACACTGCCACCAGAAGACAAGAAAGAAAAGTAACTTCTAACAACCACAGGACAGGCTAATTACAAAATATTTACTTAGTAGTCCAACGTGGCTACTTTACAACTTGTCTTCTCCTGACTTTCAGAAACACTCATTTCCTTTTGGACCTCATTCTTTTCATCTCCCCCACCCCAGGATCCTGCTAAATTTGTCTTCTATCAGAAGACACGGGTATTTTACAAAAAAATCGTTTAATTATGGTTGGGAATAATCGGCAGAAAGATAATAGAGTGTGTATTTAGAATCCATTACAGACCACTTTACCCCCCACTAGATTGGCTAAAATTAATCTAGGACAAGGTTTCAAATCCGAGTCAGTCCTCAACTGACAAAATAGTAGAGGGCGTTCAACCGCTGTCGTCAATAAACGAAAAACAAATAATGTCACGGGCTCAGCATTTTTTATTATATTTAACAGCAAACTCCATCAGCCCCTCGATTAAACTCTAACGACCCTTTAGAGATAACGATCACAAGCTCCCGGGCATAACAGTTACAAGCGAAAAATAAATAGATGAAAGAGATTTAGGAGAGGATTCACTTGTCAACTCGCTTCGATTTAAAAAGCATATTCTAATGTCCTACGGCTCAGTCTGGGCAGGGCTTACACAAGTATATACAAATGATCAAAGATCTTCAAGCCCTTTATGGAATGTATGCAAATTATCAGTGATTTTTGTTTGTTTGTTTAAGTAAGTGGTCAACATTGTGTCCTAATGCCAAGTAACTCCAAAACGTGCCACGGAATCGCTGTCTTTGTCACTGTTCTCGAGCGTGGAAAAACTTGGTCGTGGTGGAAGTGAGTCTTCGGCTCGCGCACAGGCACACTCGCCAGCGTGGGCGTGCCGTGGGACCCCAATAATCAATCCCCCGTGACGGGGCCAGGCACATCCCGGGGCTCTCCGGGCGGGCCGCGCACGTCCGGGATTAAAGGGCTGACCCGGGAGGGCGTGCCCAGCCCGGCCGCGCCGCCGCCGCCGCCGCTTACCCGGTAGTTGCTCGAGCCCACCCAACCAGTGAGCGCGTCGATGGTCTTGCCCAGGCGGCCCAGGTCCTCGTCCAGGTCCGGGATGGCGCCGGGGGCGCCGAGGTAGAGCAAGAGCTCCTGGCCGACCTGCAGCCGGCCGCCCACGTCCTTCTGCTGCACCTGGGCGCTGAAGTACTCCATGCTGCGGGGCTCCAT